TTACACAGTATTTTTTATTTTCTAAGAACCTTTCACATGATTTTTCAAAACATCCTTAATTTTAAGGGTATTTTTGTAAGTACCCCTTAAAACAAAACCCCCAAAATCCTAAAATCTCCCAATTGAGAACAGAGACCACAAATACCGTGCACGCCACTACAACAGCTGCGATGACGCCACTACAACAACGCTGATGGTATTGCGCCGAATATTAGGACTCATCAAGCCCAGCTATAGAAGTGTCAAGTGAGACAATGATATCCAATTGTTCTAGATTCTTCACAAAAGCCATATTCGTCAACACCAAACCCAATTTACTCACATACCCAGCCTTCTTCCTTTCTCGGAATCTCTCGATTCATCTTCATCAGGTTAGTGCAGTGGCTTCTGAATCTGTCTCATCTTCAGCTTTCAAGAAAATCCAGATTCAGAGAGACGACGCGGTGAGACTAAAAAACTCATTTGCTTGTCTGTGCCTCTACGCGTATGTATTTATTCACTTTATCCTTGTTTTCCCCATTTTTTCATTTCCTTCCTGTTTCCTCAGTTGGGTGGGAAGAGATGATTTTTTTTTATTTGTAAGTACTATAAAGTTGTTAGATTTTGATGAACAGAGAAAAGATGATTTTGCTTTTTGATTGGAAAGTTGAATTGTGATCAAATTAATGTTAATCATGCGTTTGAAATTGTGATTTTGCTTTTGTTTCTTTTCTAAGTTGTCTTTTTCTTTTTGTCTGGTGGAATATTAAGCAGGCATTTGATGCCTATGTGATTGGGAAAGAAGATGCTCCTGGGATTGTTGTGCTTCATGAATGATGAGGTGTTGATTTTGAGATCAAGAACCACGCCCCAGAAAATCTCTCAATTGGAACCTAGCTATAAAGTGTTGATCCCAGAGTGGTTGAAGTTGTATAAAATGATATAATTTAAGGTCTTGACTAGTGTTTTACCGTTTTTCGTGTGTAACCTTTTTAGTGTTTGTCAATTTTTTGAATACGTACATGCTTGAGTTCGTTTTTCTTTTGTTTTATGTGTATAGTTTTTAATACTTAGGCTTTGGTCTGGCTAGTAATACTAGTAGTGGTGACGGAGAAAATTTCACTTCATTTGTTAAAGAAAATGATACTATATGTCATTTTTTTTAATTAAAAGCGATATTAAAAGTGACATTACACTCAACTTTTTATTAAAAAGTGATAAATGTCACTTTTATTAAAAAGTGATACAACCCACCCAAAAAGTGATCGGTGTTTCGTCACTTTTTTTTAGCGTTGTCACTTTTTTGAGTTTTTATCTTTTTTTTTTTTAATTTCTTTCACTTTATTGAATTAATTCCAAAGTTTTGATTGNTTTGAGTTTTTATCTTTTTTTTTTTTAATTTCTTTCACTTTATTGAGTTAATTCCAAAGTTTTGATTGATGTTTTGTCACTTTTTTTAATCATCATTTTATTGAACTGATTATAAGGTTTTGATTAGTGTTTTGCCACTTTTTGAAATTTTTGTGCCTTTTTATAATATTTGTCACTTTTTTCCTATCACTTTCTTAAAATTTTTGTCACTTTTTTTTAGTAACAAACATCACTTTTTAATAAAAGCAAGTTTGTCACTTTTTTTTTTTGAATTTTGTCACTTTCTAAGTGTGTCACTTTTTTTTTTATTGTTTGTCACTTTTTTAATCTGTATAACTTCTTTTAATTTGTGCCAATTTTTTGAATTCGTCATTTTTTTTTAATTTTATCACTTTTTTTTTTTTGTTTTTTGTCACCTTTTAAGTTTTTGTCACTTTTTAAGAAAATAAAAAAATGAAATAATATGTTATATTTTCCTAACATAATCAGCATATGGATTGGTTTGAACGTGGTGATTATTTTAAGAACATGATTATTGATACTGCCCAAATGGATGGTGTTATTTTGGTATTTGTCACTTTTTTTTTTTTTTTAGTTTTGTCACTTTTTTTGAGTTTGCGTTAAAAAAGTGACAATTTTATTAAAAAAAAAATAACATTGTGTCGTTTTTTCATTTTACACAGTATTTTTTACTTTCTAAAAACTTTTCATATGATTTTCAAAGCATCCCTAATTTTAAGAGTATTTTGTCAGTACCCCAATAGAAATTGCCCCGCAACGTAGGAAATTTTGGGTTCCCAAAGATGCTGCTAAATAAAAAAAGATCCTTTTTGGTTAAGAAGGAGAAAGAGGGACATGGGAGTGTAGATATTCGAGTTTTGGTTGCTCGGATGATGAGCTATAGTTTTGGATTCTTAGAGGATGATCATCTTTGAGTTTTTGGTGTAGGCCGTTCTGTGGAATTTTTTTCAATTAAAGCATCTTGGCCAGCTATATATTGCTAGATTTTTGGCCGGTGTTTTAGCCGTTATAGTTTTTGTTGGAACGCGAATTATGTGTTCGGCTGAATTCTCCCATCTGATAGAGCTCGTTGTGTGTGGTCCCCACACTTCGTGAATATCTTTTGAAAATTCTTCTTGGGGTATGAGCTATCTAGAATGGCTTTGGAATGTTCTTGGAGTGATTTGGGAGTTGTTCTTGGTTGTTTCTATACTATTTGTTGTTCTTGGTCTCTCTATTTTTCATAGATGGTAGATGTCATTTGGATCTCTTCTTTGTTGGCACGAACATTGTCACCGCCACAAGTTCATGATTGCAAATTAATATTTTTACTAGCATCAATTTGAAGGGAATGTCAGTGAAATATAAGGAGGTTATCATATTTGATAGGTTACCATTAATGAATATTTGAAATTGATAGCTACCATATTTAATTGTGATTTATGTTCTATATAATGAGAGAACCTCTCACAGAGAAGTATCGAATCTTATTGAGTATCATTGAGTATATTTGACAAGTTCAAACCAACATAATCGTAACTTCTCTGGGAATTATAATCAAAACAATACACAACAGCCACTCCTTGATTTTCCACAGCATGACAAGAAATCTTATTTGGAAGACAATCTGGGGCCATTCATACAAAGAACTGACCAATACGTGCAAAGACAAGTTAGCTCATGGCAAAAGCAGACTCAAGCTTTCAGAATCACTCAGTATCTATAAAAATGTTGAGAATCAAACACACCTAATAGTTCAAGTTGTTTCTAAAAGACCAAAAGGAGACCTACCAACCAATACAGAAACCAATACATGGGAGCAAGTGTTCGCAATCAAGGTTATCAAGAACGACACATTCGACAATCCACCAGCAAAAGCGACTATTCCAGTTAGAGCATATGTTCCCTCTATTCCTTTTTCTCTAAAGTTTCGAATATGGATGTAAAAGGAGATGATTCATGACATGTGATCAAGACAACAAAGTAAGATGCATATGTGGTAATTGACAAAGAAGCAGTTGAGGAATAATGTGAACTGGCTGAGGATGTTGATCAAAAGGATGTTGCACAGTTTTTTGAAGCAAAGACACGAAACCCCACGAAAGATTATGTTCCTTATCCATTTTCCTCAAAGATTGCAGAAGCAAAAATTGGATAAGCAGTTTGCAAAGTTCCAAAAGGCTTTCAAGAAGTTGTTCGTCAACATCCCATTCATAGAACGTCTATTAAAAATTCCCAGCTATTCCAAGTTTTTGAAAGAATGTTATCCAAGAAAATAAGGGTATGTTCTTTTTATCGTTTTCAAGCCATTTTCATTTTTCGAAAACACTGAAAACACGTTTACTTACCTATATTTTTTAAAAAAAATTCAAAAACAAGTTTAAAATTAACAAAGAAAACAAAAAACACCAAAAATTCGTTTGGGCTGTTTTCAGTTAAAACCAAACCAAAACCCTTTTTTTTTAAAATAATTTTTCAAAATGACAAAAAGAACGCACTTTCAGTAATCTAAAAATGGACACTCAAAACACAAAACCCAAAATGAATTCAAAATTCAAAACTACAAATTGAAACACGAAGAGAACAGCCAGTGGCTTCCAAAATAGAAGACAGTGGCATTGAGTGAGGAGCGAAGTGTTGTTTCGCTCAAAAAATTGCCTCCAAAATTTAAAGATTCTTACTTTATTAGAAAACTTTTAATGCTTTAAGTGATTTGGTGCCACTCTGTGCATACATGAGACTTGGCTTGGGAGTAGAAACAACAACTACAACTGTGCAGCTTGCTCATAGATCTATCAAACATCTATGAGGTTAGAGGCGGACGCAGAAATTTAACGTTGGGGGGCACAATCGAATTTGCATAGAAGTTGGTAGAAATTTTACAATCGAAAATTTACGTCCAAAAAAAATCATATTCCATGTAATTTTACGTCCAAAAAAATCATACTCCATATAATTTTACATCAAAAAATTTACATGGGATATGACTTT